AATAAGTTGGCTGCGAGGCTCCTGAAAGAGGAGATGGTTGCCTTCGTTGTGGCGGTTTTCTAGACCCCTGCACAATCCCTGAGGCCTGAGTGCCTGTCTTTGGACTCCCATGAACCACACTCTATCCGTACATTAAACTCCCTTTACTTCAGTTGACTGGAGTCGGCTCAGGTCCTGCAGCCAGAAAAGCCCTGTGGCTAGAACAGGAGGCAAGGCTGCACGGTGAGTTAAGGACAAGTCCCTAGGCTAAGTCTGGGTGCTTATGGCTCTTTACTACCTCTCCTCATTGGTCAGCTTGGTCTGAAACGCCTCCTACATTCTCTGAAGCAGAGCCTATCTCCAGAAACTTTACTTGACTTCCCTGTTCTTGGGGAAACCCCAGACCCCATCCATTAGGAAGAGCCACCTGTCCCTAATCTCGAACATTCAAAAGAAATAAGAAAATCTTGGAACTTTACACTCTTGGAATCATAGTCATAGAACCTTAGATGTGGAATTTTGTCAAAGACTGAGACTCTGATTGTCCTCACATCTTAAAATGGCTGGGCTGGATTCTGTGGCCCAATGCACAAGAGCAAATGTAAAACAAAATTCCAGACTAAGTTCTTGCCAGACTCTGGGAATGCTGGTTGTACATAATTGCAACAAGACCCCATTATGGTTTGTGAGTTCCTTTGCACCTTTTCCTTTCTTTAAAGGGTTATATTCATGCTTCACTCATACCTCTGGTGCCCAGACATTACCAGGGACAGGGCAGCACCCTTGCATTGCACCGGGCATATCCACTGATAATTGGAGACAGGCTGGAATTCAGTGCCCTGGAGATCACACACTCCAACCCCTCACTGTGCAGATGGAAAACTGAGAGCTGTAGAAGGGAAGTGGCTTACCCAAAGCCACACTTACTATCCTCCCCCCTCACCCTATACCTCAAACTTGCTTTCACCATTTTTCAGGTGTGGAGAAATATTAATAAACGGATCAACACTAAAAGTTTTAAGTACTTATGTGTTAAAGGTCTGTGTGTCACATGGGCATGCTGACTGATATCCATTGGGGCAATGCTCTGACACCAATGGTGGCATTCCAGGTACCCGTGAAATGTGGGCAGTGAGACCACCCTAAGGCTTCTGAATTCCACTTCAAGGCTCATCATAGTTCACCACTTTGGTTGGGACATACTCTCCCTCCCTCCTTCTCTTCTCGCGTCCACTGCAACAGAGGCCAGGAGGTGACTTAACAACAGGCCACACACACAGTCCTGTCCACCTCTCCCCCCACCCACCGCCATCCCTTCTCTGGCCAATACTGTGGCCTATGACCTTCCCAAGGATGGGAACCCATCTCTTTCTCCTTCTCCCCTAAAGAAACAAAGTGAATGTAGGACAGTTTGCTGGTGAAACTTAGAAGTGGGTGGAGTTGGTCTTTTTCCCCAAGCTCCCCATTTTGTTTGTTTCCTTCCCTTTCCTGCCCCAAAGTCGTGCATTCCTCCCTCCACTGCCTCCCCTTCCTGCCATAACATTTTCTTTCTTTTTTTGTGTGTGATGGAGTTTCACTCTGTCACCCAGACTGGAGTGCAGTGGCCGCTCCTGGCCACCGCAGCCT